TCTTTCATGTGTAAGGTCCTGGTTTTAACCCCTGGCACCACAAAAAATAAGTAAAACTTAGGAAAAGGTAAAAAAAAATAAGACTATTGAATAGAATTGCTGCCTTATTTTCTGTCCATACAGAAATATACTGTCTATATTTGTTTCTAAGTGACCCAGAAGTGAGTACTTTAAAAAAAAAATTAGCAGTTGAAGTTGTCAGTAGCCTTAATTTTCTAATGATGACCTCATGGCCTCCCAAAATTTACATGGACATTTTTCAAGTAACTTTTAAAATGTTCATACCAGTGAGGATGTTACATTGTTCTTCACACTTTTTATTAGTAAAGGAATTGTACAATTTTTTTAAAACTGGTTTAGAAATTTCTTATAACTCAGCTTCTCGGAAGTATTAACTCATCAAAAAGAAAACAGAAAAAATATCAACTCATTTAACTGCATTTAGATGCATTCTCTTTCAGAAGCTGCTGTTGAAGCAAATTGGTGCTCAGAGCTATTTGCTCTTGCAAAAGCAATTAAAATGGAAAAGTCAGTTGGGAAACTTGCTGGGATCTTGATAATAGCAATGGTTGTTAGTTGGTGTTGGGTTTTTTTTTTTTATCTTTCTTAGATTAATTCAAACCTATGAATTGAAAAATCAGAAACTTATAAAATGGCATATATTGCCCATACATAGTGAATGGGCTACTCACATTTTTTTCTAGATTGTAATTTGTTCAAGTATGTGAAGGAGTCTTTTATTTTTAATTTACTGTTTTCTCTGCCACTGAGTGAGATTTGTTTGAAGTATGTTTATAAAATGAATGTTTTATAATTAAACTTAAAACTCAATGACATTTAAAATATTTAGTGAGCAAGGGGTAGAGATATAAATGAATGAGTTACAGTTTACATTCAAAAGCCTTATGCAATAAGTTTCTATTTAAAAATACATAATTGAGTTGAAGTTCATGATTTTGCTTGGCAGGCTGAATATCACAAGAATACCATCTCTGTATGACTGTTGCACATTCATTGCTCCTTCAGACCAATAATCCATTAAACTGTGTTAAATACAACAGTAGTATCACTGGTCAGTGTCTTTAATCTCTGAACAGCCTGGCAAATTACTTACTTAACGTAGTTTCCTTGCTAGGATGGATGTAAATTCATTGCTGTAGATCTTGAACTCGTTGTACCTTTGGGGGTTATGTGTCTTTAAAAAATAATTTAAATTAAATTTGCTTATAGAGCTCCTTTTTCTTGAGTACCTGTTATGTGGCACTGACACATAACATGCAACAGGTGCATGGTGCTTTTTCTCATAAAACTTGATTTACAGCAGATTCAGACCAGTAAAGAGGCCATTTTTAAATCGGTTGTGATTCAAATATATTGCTTTTTTAGAGGAATTGAGAATTTAGGAAGTGACTGATGATGCAGATAACCTACAGATAGTGGTAATGGAGAGAAACATTTCAGATACTAGATTTTATGGGGGGAGGGGGGCAGGGAGTGATAAAGATGGACAGCAAGACATCTGGGACTAGGTGGGGAGGAGAGGGAAACACCTGGGGGAAATGCCCAGGATATTCAGAACTTTCTTTGCCTGTGACATTTTTTGTCACCTCTCTCTTTTTTTTTAGGGGTTTTTCTCCTAAATGTCTGAAAGGACTTGAAATTTATTTTGCCATTTCTGTGTTTTTACAGTACATTGGCTATTAACAATTCGTTTTGCCCTTCATCTCAAGAGACTCCTTAATGCGTGGAATTGTGTACGTTCCTAAATTCATAGAACTGATTTTGAAATTTAAACAGGAATTAAGAGAAAAATTATTTCTAGAAATGGTATTTCACCAGTTACCAAGAAAAAACTTCGGGTAAAATCTCTAAGAGCTCACATGTTTCTTAAGAGAGGTCTTTATGATATTGACCTGTGTGACGCTTTTTGGTGTACATCAGGAATTCCAGTGTTTCAATGTTTTTTTCATCTTTTTTTATTTTTGTACCATTTTATTGTGGTATCAGGATTCATAGGTAGTTTTCATGTATACATCATCCCAGCAATACACTCATCACTGTAGTGCCTGCTTCCCTCTTCCAGTTTCCCAAGCACCTTTTTCATCTTTCTTCATACAGTTTCTGAAGTTTGAAATGAATACCAAAAAGTTAACAGCAAAAATTAATTTGCTGACACAAATTTAACAGCACTCTCATATGCCAAGGAATTTCAGCTAGACTGAATGAGAAGCTTATAATTTGTTCTGTTTATATTCAACAGAATTAGATTAGAACTGTAGCGGCCTATCCACCAGCTGAGAATGCCATCGTTCACCATTTGGGGGTGTTGGCTTGCCAGCTGTTGGCAGCAAAACTTAAGAGTACAGAGAAGGAAGCTCTTTCAGAAGTTTTTCCAAAGTTAGCAAAATAATCAAGTTACAAATTCTCTCTCCTACTTGCTATTCACACAGGATAGTAAGTATACAAATAGCAACATGAAACTTTTTCATTTGGTTTCTTGCTTGTACTATCATTTTTAAAAAATTTTAATTGAATCATCATGAATTGCAAAGTTATTCATGATTGAGTTTCAGGCATACAGTATTCCAATCCCTCTTCCAGTGTCCACTTCCCTCCACCAGTGTCCCCAGTTCCCACCCCAGCCAACCCGCCCAGCCGGCCCATATGGCAAGCGCTCTGTGGTTTACAATACTGGTACTGATGGATTATCATTTTTCTTATGGGTGTGAAAGATGTATACTAATAAATATATACAGCTAATCAATATATGCAACTGATACCATAATTAACTTACAGTATTTTTATTCTGACAAGCAGAGTTTGTGAGCATGCTTTCTGTGTAATTTTAATTTTAAAGGTGCTTACTCAGCTCACAAATTTGAGTTTTGGGTCCTTTTTGTTTTTAGATATCTTTGGTGACATAACTCACCTAATTAGATAATAACTGGTATAATAAAAGTAAAATAATATAATTGCAGTACAATATTTGTGCTCAGTGGAAGAAACAAGACTGAAATCTTTGAGATTACCTTGTGAAGTAGCTGTTCACATGGGCGGATGCTATTAGTATTCAGTAGATGAATTCACATAGCTTCCTTGTGGGGGAACTGATAGGCCATTCAGCATTGCTTTTGGCAATCTCGGTAAGTCACCATTGACCAAATAAATTCATATGCTCAAGTACTCTTATTCCTAATTTAATGCCATTAAAGTGCTCATATTTCACTATTTTAAAATTAGCTTGGAATTCAGTTGTGACTTTTTGAATTCTGAAACCAAGAATGGATACAGAATGTAGTATTTTTGATGAACCAACAAACTTTTTCTTAACCTAGTACCTGAATAGCTTTCCACTTACTCTTTTTTTTTTTTTTACAGCTAAATAGATTTGGACCAGTTAGTTCTGGCAGGCATTAATTTTCATCTCCATATCCCTTATTCACCTTTGGCATATAAGCATTGCTGTTTGACTTTAATAATGTTATTTGAACTTTGGAAAATGTATTATTGCGTTCCATATTCTGAAGTACCTATTTGAAAATGTATACTGTGTTCTAAAAAAAAACAGTTGATAAACTGGGGTCAGAGTGATAGATAGAACAGCAGGTAGGGCGTTTGCTCTGCATATGGCTGACCCAGGTTCGATTCCTTGCATCCCACATTGTCCCCCAAGCACTGCCATGAGTTATTCTTGAGAACAGGGCCATGAGTAACCCCTGAACATCACTGAGTGTGACCCAAAAGGCCTCCCACCCAAATAAAGTAGTTCATAAACATAGCTGCTAAAAAAGTTGGGATACAGCCCTAGAAACGAAAAAAAAAAAAGCAGTTCATAAACATAACTGCTGAAATGTTGGGATATAGGCCTAGAGATCATACAGGAGCTAGAGTACAGCCAGACCCATCCCTGGCACCTCAGATTCCACCAAGCACCACCAGGAATGATCACTGAGCAAAGCCAGGAATAAGCCCTGAGCATTGCTGAGTGTGACCCAAAGAAAATTAACCCAGAAAGTTGATAAGGAATATTCATATTTATGGAATCTGGTGAACATTTGTGAATTGAAGAATTATATTGACTAATTTAGCAAATTGAATTTACTGCTGCATGAAAAATAATTGGATGCAGTGCGTATTTTTTGGAAGATAAAATTACCTTGAGACAATTTGAAGTATAAACAAGTATAAAAAATATTTTAGATAGATGGTTTCAATATCTTTAAAAATTGAATCCCAAGGCACATAAGATTATCCAGGAGGTAATGATCCCGCCAGACATGCAATCAACTATAATTTTGTCACTGGCACCACATGATCCCCAGTATTCAGCATGAGCATGGAGCCAGGAGTGGCCCCTGAACACTGGCCAGTGAGACCCTACTCCCTTCCCCAAATAACAATCCAAACTGTTTATTGACTTTTTTTTGAAGTTTTTATGTCTAGGTCTTTTCTTACATTGTATTATCTTTCCATGGTAAAAGCATAGCTAATAATTGAAAGATACGATTTACTATGTTTTGTTAAAAAAATATATTGAACATTATTTAGCCTCATTTTGGAAGGTTTCTTTGCAAGTGTATTTTAGGAAAATTAGTGAGGAAAGTGCTGTAATATATATTGTGTAAATGCATACTATAGGGTTCAGTGATATTTTTTACGTAGTGTGCAGTAAAATGTATCTGTGCCAAAGTTCAAATAAGTGTTTAGAAAGACCCAGCTATTGTTTTGTTTGTTCTGTGAAAGGGGCTTGTCTTTATACTCAGGGATCACTCCTGGCTGGGCACAGAAGACCATATGCGTCCGCAGGTTAGGGAGTCAGAATTGAACTTGGATCTTGGGTCGACCGCTTACAAGAGATGTGCCCATCCCTATTTTGCCAGTATGTTTCTCACATTCGCAGATTATCAATGATATTGTGGTCCCAGAGATTTGTATATTAATGTAGTTCATAAAAGAAATGATTTTTTTTTCAAGGCTTCTGTTTTCTTTTTTCTTTCTAGGAGTACCAAAATCTAATCTCTTGCACACAAGATCATTAAGGGGCCACAAAGACTGCTTTGAAAAATACCATTTGATTGCAAACCAGGATTGTCCTAGATCTAAGCTTTCAAAAAGTACTTATGAAGAAGTTAAAACCATTTTGAGTAAGAAGATAAACTGGATTGTACAATATGCACAAAATAAAGACTTGGATTCAGATTCTGAGTGTTCCAAAAATACCCAGCATCACCTGTTTAATTTCAGACATAAACCGGAGAAAAAGTTACTCCCACAGTTTGACTCCCAGGTACCAAAGTATTCTGCAAAATGGATAGATGGAAACACAGGTGGTCTCACAAACTGCACACAAAGAATCTTTGAGCAGAGGGAAAACACAGACTTTGAACTTTCTGTGTTACAAGATTCAGATACCACATTATTGTGGCCCCACAGTCACAACCAGGCACAGAAAAAAGAAGAGACCATCTCTGACCCGGAGACTAGGGCCCAGACCCGGCACCCGCATTACAGCAGAGAGGAACGTAAGTAAAATTGGGAGGAAGTCAACGTGGGAGTTTTGTTGTTGCTTTTGTTTTACTTTACATATATGTGTCATGTCAAGTCATTTCGATGTAGAATCATGGGTTAAGTTGAGAATTTAACACATTCACCCTGGTAAAAGGGATATGCTTCAAACTCCTTGCCAGTTCCCTGGAATAGTTCATAGTCTGACTTAGGCTTTGGTATTTTGTAGTCCAGACATTGGCGTCTGCTTTGAATTTCTCAATCAAATGGAATCAAAAAACAGAGTTGAAAGTTCAGGGTTTGTGTAGTTTTAGAAGGCTGTCTCTGCTGTTGGCTAACAGACATTGTCACATTGTCATCTTGCCAGTCCCTTCAAGACTAATTGACTAGAGGTGGCATTTCTAAAGCAAACATCTGACATTTTTACCAAAGGCCAAAGGTAATATGTTCACTTGCTTTAATGTTGGAGAAAATGACTCATTCAGTCTGCATCTGTTTCTATTAAAGCTACAGAAGCTAAAATCATTTAATTGACTAGTATATTTTTAAGCAACTTCATTCTTGATATGAATTAGCCAAGGTTATGTAAGTCAGTAGACAAATGAATTTTTCAAACTAAAGTACACAGGACTTCAGAATTTTCTAGAACTGAAGATATGGCTCAGTGGTTGGGTACCTGCCTCAAATGTGTGAGTCCTTGCACTTATTCCAAACATCTACAAAAATTTAAGTATAGTGAGTTTTTTAACTCTGGGTCCTGAATTCTGTAGAGCTTCTTATTAAGCAAAATTACCTTGATGGGAAATGAGTAACACTTTCGAAATGCTAAAGTATAATCAGAAGTATTAGAACCCAGCGCACTCAGTCCTAGGTGATTTTTGGTGTGGCTTTTGACTCAAGTCGGCTATGTACTGGCAGTGAGAGCAAATCTTTCTTAGTGGGGAGCTGTGTTATGTCAGGTCTTAAAATTGTAGCATAAGAGTTAGTGACTGGATCTTACACTACTGCTGGATGTTAGATTGGCAGATAAGTGCAAATACTTTATCAGGATATTATGTTGCTGGTAGAGGCAGCTTTTTCCCCCAGTTTCTTGTGGTAATAATGAATATATTTTTATCTTTCAGTGAATTCGATGACCCTTGGTGAGGTAAAGCAACTGAATGCAAAGCTCCGACAGCAAATACAGGGTAAAGAATAATTCTCAATGCTTTTCAAATATATGAAAGTTTCATTCAGAGTTCCCTACGACACGAAACCATTAGCTTCATTTGCACTGAAATTGAGAAATGAGATTAGAATCAAATAATTTCCAGAGCAAAAAGAATTAGAGAATTTAAATGTAACTGGAGACTACAAGTTGGATCTCTACCTTTCCTTAACATTTTACTGACTACTTCCTGCTGTGCTGGGCAGTATGCAAATCTGTTTCCTACCAGTTCTGTAAAGCAGATACATGGGTCCTATTTTTTTTGTTGTTTCTTTTTGGCCGGGGGGGGGGGGGGGGGGGGGGGGGGGGCAGCTGGACCAATAGCACAGCTAGCACAGTGGTAGGGCATTTGCCTTGCGCACAGCCAGCCCAGCCAAGCTGGGTTTAATTCCTCTCGAAGAGCCCAGCACCCGCACAGCAGAGCCTGACAAGCTACCCGTGACTCATTCAATATGCCAAACACAGTAACAACAAGTCTCACAATGGAGATGTTACTGGGCCTGCTCGAGCAAATCGATGAACAATGGGAGGACCGTGACAGTGTTTTTTTTTTTAATTATGGGTAATTTCAAACACAACTGTCAAAAATAGTGTCGTGTACCCTTTAACTAAGCTTACTACCAGTTTCATCTGCTTTCGGAAGTATAGTTTCCTTCATCTCTTCTTGCCCTTGTACTCCTCGAACCCTCACACCCAGCATGGATTATTTTGAAGTCAATCCAAGGTCACATGATATTTTTCCCATATGTAGGTCACAATTTTCTTTAAGAGGAGGATGTCTCTTCCTCCTCCTAACACCGTGGATAGAGTGCTTGCCTTGCACACAGCCAACTAGGGTTCAATCCCTGGTATCTGATATGGTCCCCTAAGCCCAGCAGGAGTGATCTCTGAGCACAGAGCTAAGGTTCAGCCCTGAACACCACTGGGTATGGCCCAAAAAGAAAAAAGAAAAAAAAGATTTTAAGAGGTCTTAAAAAGAGAAAAATCATAACCTCATTGGTGATACTTCAAAAAAAAAAATCTTTACCATTGTTCAATATGTTGCTACTGATTCTAACAATTGCTAGTTAGTGTTCAAGTTCCCCAATTTTCTCTTTCCCCCCACCCCCAATTCCCATTTTGGAGAAGAAACTGCATTTGAAGATAATGTTAATTATAGAGATTATGCATTCACTCAACAACAGGATTATTGATTGACGATTTTAACCCCTACCCTTCAACTCAAACTTATGCTCTTTCATAACAACATGGCCACTCAAAATAACAAAACAGTAATAGCAACATACATTTGCCAAGTACTTTCTCTGCATTAGGAACATGATAAGTGTGATCTCCTATAATTCTTACAGTAACCCTGTGAGATGCCGCTGTTACCATCAAGGTTAAACTCAGTGGGAACTAAATTATAATCTTGCTTGCCTTACTCATATGAGTAGTAACTAGGATTCAAACATTTAGTTAGTTTGTTTTCATAGGCTCTTGTTCTCTAGACCTGAGTACTAATGGGCACTTAGCCATAGGTCATTATAGATATTATTATAATACATTCATACATTTGGATTGAGAAAATTATCTCAAGTATAACTTTAGCAACCATTTCTGCCATACATCTCTATAGTTATTGCTTACGTAGTTTTATTTGATAAGAGAAGGTCTTCCAGTTGGCTGTGGTAGGTGTTCAGCTTCATAGGAGGCTCAAAACATGTGTCCGTGATGTCAGATTTTGCTTTTATCATGACAATACTCTAACTCACTTAGAATATTACTAGTACTCTACCTGAGTTCAATATTCTTTAAATTAAATACTCTAATGTCCAATACTTTAACTTAGAGTATTAAAATACACACCATACAATTAGCTTTACATTTTCTAAAAATGAAACTGTATTTTTCAATCTTTACAGAAGTTTTTGAAGAGTTGACACATCAAGTTCAAGAAAAAGATTCTCTGGCCTCGGAGCTCCATGTCCGCCATGTTGCCATAGAGCAGCTTCTCAAGAACTATTCCAAGTTACCGTGTCGGCAAGTGGGTCGAACAGGGATGAAGTCACACTCACCCATAAACAACTAACCTCCTTATTTCCTATGCCCTCTCATGCTTTGGTCTGCCAGGCATGCAGACTTTGAAGAAGCTGAAGAAAGTTAACGGTCCATTATTTTATGACATTATACTGGCAAAGTGTAAAGTAATATTTGACATCTTTGTCAAATAAAGCAGGTTGTTGCCCTGTAGGGTTAATCATTTTTGTTCTTTTGGGGAGTTATTTTTTCCATAATTGCTAAAGGGCCTTCCTTAATTTTTGTCACATGTGACTACTTAAAATATATTATTAAAGTGAGACTTTATTAAGCATTTTAATGTAGTTCACCTCAAAACAATGGGTTAACGAACTCCTTAGATAAGTCTGAGCTACTAAAGATAGTTTTTAAGAGGGAAATGGAAATCATAGCATCACCTCTTATTTATTATGAGCAATATTTTCATATAAAATTTTATATATAAAATTGCTATTTTCGGTACTTTCCCATTTTCTTTATAATGTGTTTGAATGACTATATATTATATTTACACTTGGTGTATGAATATGTTCACCCATATTTAAGATCACTGCATTTTATTCTAATATACTGTTTTTATAACTATCTTGTTTTCGAAAGATAAATGTATTTTGGAATAGAAATCTATCTAGTTGAATTGTTTTAAACTCTAAGAACTCTTATGAAAAAAGAATTAACTTTTTAAAAAGCAAGATCGAAGAAAATTTTTAAAAACTTTAATGAAAACAATTTTGAGTTAATTCAGGAAGAAAATACTAAGCTAGTTTTTGTACGCCCATTTGTTTCCATAAAAGAAAAGGCCTTTTGTACGTCATTCTTTTCATTATAGTAACTTAGAAATGTTTGAATTTGGACAGAGTAAATCAGACCTCACTACTTAGTTAAATGTAGTATCATCAAACTGAGTGTGCTGTGAAACTGTTGCCCTAACTTTGAAATTTAAAAATTATTTGTATGCCACTTTGGATAAAAGCTTAAGAATCCTTAAACTACCCAAATTGTGTTATCCAAATTTCTGTTGGAGTGAGTGCTCAAAGAAAACATTGTGAGGTGAGGTATTATTTTTCTAAAATTTAGAATCTAGGGCAGTGTTTCCCCAAGTAGGGGATGGGGAGAGGGATGGGGAGGATCATAGGCTGAGATGATCCTGGAGATGTGTCAGTATCCTCAGGTGCTGGGGGAGGGGAAGGGATGACCTGTTAGTCTCTTAAAGTAGAATGTTCCAGGCGAGCACTAAGTGAATTTTTTAAAGGGAGCAGTAGGTCAGACTCATTTGGAAACCTTCGAGCTAGGGGGAAAGATTGCTTGACAGGAGATAAAACTTGTTCAAATTATAATCAGCTCTTTTGAAAAAGGATAGTCTTAAAGGTTACCTATGAGGTTTCCAAAGAGTTCTTAATGAATGGATTGTCACCAAAAGCCAGATAAGTTTTTTAATAATGTATTACACGCAAGCTGTAACCAATGCAGAATTAAAAAGGGGTTCTGAATTCTGTTTTCAGCTGGTGCTTAGAATGTATTTATGAGATAGAGTCTTTCTACAGAAGGCCCATTAACTTACTTACAGGCTTCATGCATAAAGCTATGAATGGATTCCTGCCTTAAATTTGGCAGCCTGCCCTGCATAGGTCAGCTGAGAGGTCTTTACAAAAACAGTATTTGACTAAGCAAAGAAACACCCTAATCCTATAGAAGACAGCTCTTAGTAATTCTAAAATGTGTTATCTTTGCTTGAATATTAGTTGATATCTAATGGGTTTTGTTTTATTTGCTTTTAAAAAAGACTGCTTATTTTTTTTTTTGGAGACAGCTTTTGAAAGATGATTTTAATTTTTCTCATTCTTTAGAGTCATCCAAAGTATTGAAAGCTGAGTGGGGTTGCATTGCCTTAGTTTGATAAGCTTTAAGTGAATGTGTGCAATATCCAGATCTCCATAAATTTCCAAGTTGAATAAAGATATTTTCTCATGCTACCAGTATCTTAGTGCTTAGTTGCTATGATCACATTTTATAATTTGACTTTACTTAGGGAAGTGTGGTTAAGAGTGTGTACTGGCACATGTTTGTGCTTGTATTGCACTTAGGAACTGTCATAAAAGTTTGGAATATGTTGCATTTGATACCAGTATTAGCATATTTCTACAGTATGAGCCATATGATGCCATCCAGAATACAGCAGTGTTACCCAAAGAAAGCATTTGCTTGTTTCTGACAATTAGTAGCTTTACTGAGTTTGGGACAAGTGGATTGGATTGTACATATATGAAAACATTTATCCGGGAATCTTTTTTTCTCCCGTCAGGTCTTTCTAGTTAAGCTCTTCAAAGGAAAGGTGCTCTTAAAAAGAATCTGTGACACTAGTGCTTACACAGTACTTATTTGGATGAATATTTGAGTTAAAATATTTTTTGAAGAATGTTGCACAGCAGTGTATGGAAATATTAAGTAAACATATTCCTATGTTTGTTTTCTTAAATATGCAGTTATTTGTTTAAAAAATCAGGGTAAGCGATGAAGTTGAGCTCTAACTTGAGAGAGCCTAAAATACCACAAATGTTGAATATCATATATGACGATACTTCTTGTACAACTTTTTGAGGAAGTTCAGAAGAAAACCTCACACATAGCTTTGGTTTCAAAATGGTAAAACAGGGCCTGCCAGTCAGCCACTAAACGTTTTCCCAGTTAATAAGATTAAAGGGAATGAAATAAAAATTATTTCAAGCTAGAACTCACTTTTTAATGAGTTTATCATTATCATCCTTTGACCCTAGTATTTAATAACCAAATTAGTCCTTTCAGAGTCGGGTTGGGGGGGGAGGAGGGAGCATGCAGTTAAAATACCAATAATCATACAGGCAACAGAATAATTTTATGTATTACACGCAGTGTTGGAACAAACCTTTTTGAAATTATATTTCACCACCAAGTGCCCATTTTCATATACATTTGAGGACTATTATTTGGGGGAAGGGGAACTCTGTTCAGGGGTCACTCCAGTGGTGCTTGGGGACCCTGTGGTGCCAAGAATTGAACCCAGGCCCCAGGATACAATGCTTGTGCTCCAGTCCTTTGAACTCTCTTCCCAGCCCTTCTTTTTGTTTTTTTTTTTTAACAAGTGTTTGAACATGATTTCAGAAATAGAGTCAAAATATATTTATCTTGTGATGTCTTGGGTTTTTTTTTGTTTTGTTTACTTTGGTGTTTACACTGTTTTCAGTTTTTGCTAATTTAAAAAAGGGATTTTTTTTTATTTACTTGCGTTAATGTTTACCAGTTATGTTTTGTTGTTTAGGAAGAAATCTATGTGATTTATGCTGTAAGTGTAATCTAAAATGTATATGCTCTAAACTTTAGGTAAACTTATAAAGTAAATTATTTGTATAGCTTTGTAAAAGGCTCAGTTTAGTGGCCACAAAATACGAAACATGAAAACTTCTAAATGGTGCAGTTTAAATTTAGGCCAGTTTACTGACATGCTAGTACTGCTTATGAGAAAGTAAGATACTTGAGTATTTTGAAGTATATATACTGAAAAGTTTTGTGTTTGACAGCATTTTAAAAATGTCTTTGTTCCCGTGTGACTAAAGCTAAGCTAATTGTTCTTCTTGGTGTTTAATTGCATTTTTTATTTTTACACTTGTGGAATATTGGGAGAAATTTGTGGTGGAAGTCAGTGAGATGGAAGTGATAATCACTCTTGCCTGTGGTATGCTGTTGAGGTGGAAAAAAGCTTATGTTAGGAATAATAAAGTCATACAGCTATGGCACAAGGTAAAGCCATTTTGGAGAAAGGTGTTCATGTTAGCCTGTAATCTGAGCAGCCTGCTTGTGGTCAATGAACTAAAATTGTTTTGTTTGGAAAAAAAAATGAAACAGCAGTGTGCAAAGCAAGTTGGTTTCAAAAAAGTTTAACGTTAGTGTTTACACTTTTTATTTGAAACTGCAATAAATTCTATGTTTGTATTGCCCTGCTTTAAGCTACAACATATGCTTGTCTACTATTTTTAATTTTGAAACAATAAAATAAATATTTTGTAACCTGTTCTCTTGAGTGGATATCTTTAAGGGTAGTTTCTCATTTTTAACTGATCAATATATTAGCACAAAAGCAGATTTTCCTGCACTGGTGGGTTCTTGAGAATTGTATTAAAGATATGCAAACAAAACTTGGTCAATGAAAAGTTAATTATACATATAAAAGTAGAAGGGGCCAGAACCCTCCCCAGATATCCAGGCCTCTCTTTTACCCATCAAGGATGTCACCAGTCCTGTCCCTGATGCTGCTTGGACATCTGAACGACTTACTGTCCTGACTCACGCAATCTCCTCACCCTCCATGAACGAAGTCACTGGTCTGTCCCATGAACAACTTCCCTATCCAGTCCCCTCTCTGCTCTCTCTGTTCCGTGCATGCTTTCCTTGTCTCCAGCCACAGCCTCCTGTGGTGGGTGAGAGCCCTGTGCTCAGTACCTTGTCACTCCCTGGCATGGGAGCCCTGCCTGAACCTGCACTTTCTTGGGCATCTGAGCCCTGTCAGGCCCTGATTGACCCCCCTGTACTGGGCCCCATTCCTGGGCCCGCCATCCTACCAATCCTGAAGGCCCTGGAGAGAGAACAGAATCCAGCGAACAGGTGCAGAGGCAGGAGAGGGAGAAGGAGGAGACAGAGATAGGGCTGGGGGCTTCCTTTTATCAGTTGTCAAATTCCCACCCCCAGCCATCCCATTATCTATTCTGATTGGCTACTTGTTCCATGGGTGGAGATTTCAAGTGACCTTGTGCCCCACACCTCAGCTCCTCCTGAATCAATAATACTTGAATTTTTGTTTTGTAAGTTCAGAGAGCCAAGAATTAATTCTCAAACTTCATTTCTTTTGAGAATCTTTGATGCTTAATATTCTCTCTATCCCAAGAGTCTGGAAGTAGAAAATAAAATCTGGTGATTGACTGGAAGTGAAGTTTTTTTTTTAATTATTTTTTAATGAATCACCATAGGGGCTGGAGCGATAGCACAGGGATAGGGTGTTTGCCTTACAAGCGGCCAACATGGCCGACCCAAGTTCTATTCCTCTGCCCCTCTTGGAGAGCGCAGCAAGCTACCGAGAGTATCTCGCCCGCACGGCAGAGCCTGGCAAGCTACCTGTGACATATTCGATATGCCAAACACAGTAACAAGTCTCATGATGGAGACATTACTGGGCCTGCTCACGCAAATCGATGAACAACGGGAGGACCATGACCCTGACTGAATCACCATGAGGTACAGTTACAGACTTACAAACTTTCGTGCTTACTTTTTAGACATACAATGATAGAGTACCTATCCCTCCACCAGTGCCCATTCTCCACCACCAAGATCCCAGTAAGTCAGTGAAGTTTTCTTAACTGAAGTTTTCATACAACAAATACACAAATTGTTAGTTGAGGTTTCTATTTTAAGAGTGGTGGAGGGTGGGGATGGGGACAAGTTAGGCCACACCTGGTGTTGCTTAGGGGCTACTGCTGGCTCTGCTCAGAGGACCATATGTGGTGGGGATTGATCTGGGTTCCACCAAGTGGCAAAGCAAGTACCTAAACCCCTGTTGTCTGAGTTTTAAGAATTATGAACAAAGGACAGAGAGTGAGACCAGAAAGAGTTTTTGTCTGGTCAATCCCCAGCATCCTATATAGTCCCTCAGGCCCTACCAGAAGTAATCCCTGACCATCCCCAGATATAACCCCCCAAAACAATTTTCTAACTATAAACAACTACATACTCACCTTGGTTGTCCTCTTCCAGTCTTCATTTTCTTTCAGCTTACTGTTCTATTTCCATAATTTGCATTTATCAATTTCAGGACTTTATATAAATTAATGCATTATCTACTCATTATCTCTGGCTTTCACTCTGTGCTTTGAAATTCAGCCTTGTTAGTACAAGGATCATTCCTTATTTTTTGCTGACTACTATTATATGAATATATTAGCATGTGTTTATCCATTCACCTGTTGATTGAGGTTTGAATAATTCCCAGTTTGAGGCCAAAGTAATAAAGGTGTTAGAAATGTGTTTATTTGGCTTTTAAAAGATTTTCTT